AAAAAATAGAAATTGCAGTTCATAAGATGACAAATGACATGCATTCACCATTGCCTTATTCGAATGGAACTTTGTGCCCGTCAAATTTCAAGGAAGATTTTCATACATACACCTAAAATGTTATTAGGCTACACGAATCATTTCACACCAAAATTATAAAAAAAAAAAAAATCAAGACATGAACATACATAGCTCAACACTGGTGTCAATACTAGTTTAAAATTGAAACAAGATGGAAACAATCATAAAGAATGATCGATTTCAACACCAAGTAAATAGTGACCTTCAAGAGAAAAGCTCTACAACAAGCTGCAATTTGATTAGGACAAATCTTGTAATGTTACAAGATATCAGGATAAGTTGATGTCATAGAAAACAAATTAACTATTATTATAATAAACATGATATGTAAATGTTACACAAACAATGATCAATAAAATATTGTAGCTGGCAGGGAGCTTATGGAAAAAGAAATAGGTTTGTGTATTGTATTTTCTCTCGGATTTCATAGACGATGTGATTTTAGGAGCTAGGAGCTACTTGAAGGTCTCCAAAAAAAGCGGAAGAAGAAATAGAAGGTGCGGCCCGAGAAGAGAACTGAGTAAAGGAAGAGTTGTCTTCGTAGTATAGGTCATTTACTTGAAGATTGGGCAAGCTCGTTACATGAGTCCTAAATAATTGCGCTCTCGTTTATCTACTAAAGACTCTTGCAGCACATAACACAAGAAATTAGCATTAATCAGCGACAGAAGGCACAAGAAACTCCTTATAAGTAATGACTGAATTTTCAAGGGGCTTCTCTCAGCTAGAAACCAAAATAGATCACCAGATATAAAATCATAAAAAAAAAAAATCATGAAAAAGGAAGAGGTTTCTTAGGTGTCTCAACTGTTCAAAATTTTGATCAACCCATCAACACGGATGTAATTCATGGAATCAAAAGGGGGTGTGCCTTGTTTCAACGATGATAAATCGCATGGTTGGTTTTTTAAATCCAAGTAATTTTTTCTTATAATATCTCAAAAGCTCAATGTTTCATCATTACATTAATCAATATTACTAATGAATGCATAGTAATAAACCATTAAATTTTTTGGCAAACTTTCCAATGTGATGTTCTTAAACATTTGGATCATCACCATATAGAGACTTGAAGGGAGAATTAGCAAAATTTACCCATAGAACAACAGTTTAAGAATATAAAAATTAGTTCGAAGAACTGTCAAACAGAATTTCAAGCATCCCACTTTTATTCCTGCAAAGTTGTTTTGTATCAACTTTACATTAAGAGCCATTCAACCACAAATTGTTCTATAAGCCTTATAATTAGCCAAGTTAATGGAAGATATATTAGGGAAATACTCTTTTAATGCCACATTATCACTATCTATGTTCACTGATAGCCAGAATAACAACACAACACCAACAACCCAAGTAACAACTACCATTACTAAGAACATTCACCCCGTCATAAATGAACGAGTGAAACACCAAAGGATTGTGTTTCAATTGCAATGATAACTTCTTTGAAGAACATATATCAAAATAAAAAATTATTTACTCTAATGGTGATTAAAAAAGATCAAGATATAACGTAATTGTCAACAATACTTCAGAAGACACTTGAAATAAACCTTAATGCTTTAATAGGCCAAGAATCATTAAGAACCTTGCATTTGCACGGAAGGCTTGTCAACACTTCATTTCAAATCTTGATTGATAGAGTGTTCACACATACTTTTATTCAAAAGGGACTTTATCAACAGTTGCAGCAACACCACAAAAAATGGCTTCGTATACTTCAAAAACAGAATTGTGCTAGTTACTTCATCACAACTAAAATTGATCGTTTTGACAGAACTTCATTAACCACTATTATGGGGGAGGCATACAATGTACTACATCTAAAATTATGGTTCAATTTTATTGGCCAAAAATGAAATAGGATATTATACAATTCATTTGTGCTTGTCCAGTGTAGCAAAAAAATTAATATGATAGCCAAAGATCTATTAGTCATTTATAGCCACTGCCCATTCCTAGTAAAATTTGGGAAGAAATATTTATGGATTTTATCACATGACTTCAAAATATATTTGGAAAAACGTTGATATTGGTTATAATGGATCAATTCGCTAAATATGCATATTTATTGCACTCAAAATAAAACCTTTTCAAGTAATTTAGTGGCTGCAATCTTCATTACAGAAATATGTGGGTTACATTGAATGCCTAAGATAATAGTTTCTAAGTGTGACTCAGTTTGTTTTAGTAAATGCTGACAGGAGTTATTCAAATCAAGTGGTACAAGATTGAACCATAACACAACATCAGAGTCAGATTGACCAAAAAAAATGTAACCAAATGAAGCCTAGAATATAATCTAAGGTGTTTTGTTATGGATCCATTGTCATATTGGGTAAAGTACTTACCTTAGGCAAAGTTTCCATAAAATACAACAAAACACATCAAGTAGTTACTCAATAATTCAAACTATATATGGGAGGGATCCTCCAACTTTCATTCCCTATGATTCCAACATCCCTCAAATTGAGTTGTATATGTTATATTGAAACAAAGAGATAAAGTTCTAGAACAACTACAGAAAAATTTGCATAGGACATGAAACAAATGAAGTAAATAAAAGTTAATAGGAGGAGAGATATATAGTTCCAAGTAGGTGATAAAGTATGGGTCGTCTCTGATCATACAGTTAGATTGTGATAGTAAATAACATATTCACTAAACTAAACAGTTGTTTTGCCAATTTTTTATATATATAAAAAATGGTGCAACAACATATAAACTTTAGCTACGCCCACCGCAACCAAAATACATCTAGTTTTTTTCATGAATCCAGGCTCAAACTATTCGAGAAAATTTACAATAACACCCAACAATAATATCACAACAATTTAATGAAGGTCAACCATTAGTAAACCAATGGCAGTACTTAAAAAACAAGTTATATAACAAAAAAACCAAGAAGTAAAGAACAATTCTTAATCCAATGTGAAGGATTGCCCGTAGAAGATGCTTCATTGGAACATCTTAAGAAAATGCATACATTCTATCTTGGTTTCAACCTCCAGGACAATGTTATTGTAAGTCTACTAAGGGAGTGTTTAGGATCCCAAGACACAATACAGTTGTACGACACAAAAGAAAATAGAAGCAACCACCAAGGATGGTCGATTTCATCACTAAGTGAACAATAACTTTCAAAAGAAAACTTTTACACCAAGATGCAGTTAGAAAATAACAAATCTTGTAATGTTTGTTACAAAATATCAAAAAAAAAAAAGGTTATAACAGAAAACAGATCAAGAATCTATTATTATAAGAAATTAGACATATAAATGTTAAACAAGTTACTATAAATAAAATATTGTAGCAAACAAGGTGGCTATGAAAAGAAACAAAATCCATGTGCTTTAGTTTTCTCTCATATTTCCATAAGAGATTTGAGTTTAGGAGCTCGTAGCCACTTGAAGTCCTCCAAATAAGATAGGAAGAAGAAACAAAAGGCGTCACTCAAGAAAAGAACTAATGGGAGAAGAGAAACCCTAACTCCACTTTTCAAAGGACAGTGTTCGTACAACGAGTTGACTACTTGAAGATTCGGGCTAGATCGTGATACGAATCCCCAATACTACACACACACACACACACACACACACACACACACACACACACACACACACACACACACACACACACACACACACACACACA